TAGTTTTTACATTACCACCCTTTTTCTATAAAATCAAACGAAGCAAGATCGTGAGTTTAAGATCCATGTACGAATTTACGGGAATTCGTTGGATTGTAGTACCGACCAATTTCGAGTAGTGATGCTGACAATATCCGCAGTATTTAACATTGTCCAGATAGTTGCCAGCCTCTTCACAGAGCAAGCCAAGAGCCTGAGCACATGTAACGTGAAATTGCTGCCTGCAGCCTGTCTTGTTGCACTGCATGCAGGCTCCCACATTTGCTCTACTACCCCTCCCTTGTTCCTCACAAATGTAACACGACTGGAATAACCAATATCCATGTGTCAGACCTCAAATATGTCATGTAATACTGAAAGATTCTTGTCAAGATCCTTACTTTACTGAACCTTTCCGATGGTATCAGTTGCAAAATGATTGGCTCCATTGTTGTCACGTTACCAAACCTAACTTCTGGTATATAGAGCGCACAGACCACGTGTGCCCAGCCAGCTTGGTCTGTTCTCTTGAGTGCCCCATCACGGCTTGGACACAACTCACAACGCTATTATACAAAGTAATAAAACATTCTTTCGTGTCCTCCAGGTTGTAAATTGCTACAGTGTTTCCATTTTCTGTGTGGAGACTATTATTCTTTCTAAATGGAATAAGTAAACAATACATTGTTTAAAAGAAACTTACCACACGGGCACTGCGCTCCTGTGACTCACACTTCCTACAGTACCATGGTCCTGTTGGTACTGTGACGATACCATAGCATGCTGCAAAAACAACCCTATATAGTATCCTACAATGTATACAAGACAACACAGAGCAGAAACAGTTTGAAAGAGCAACCTTGGTGTACAGCAACAGTGCAACCCTGGCCATCGCAGTACACCAGTGGATTTTCAGTCCAACCCCTCTCGTCAGAACACACGCAGCACCCTCCAAGCATCTCCTTCATGCTGTGCTCCAAGCAATTCGGAAGACGAGACTAGCATGAGGAGCTAGGCGAGCCGTAGGCGGAGATGTGACGCGAGGCAGCCCCGCTTTCGCAATTGCATCCTGGCTAGCTGCGTTCCCCGGCTGGTTGCTACCCTGGCTATTATCCCCGATGCTCGTGCACACGCGTGACGCATTCAACGGTGAATCGTGTGGCTGGCGTATTGCCGTACCGCGCTCCGCCGTCCCCGCGGACGATTCACCACGTGGAAACGGTCCAAGGCTACGCTTCACCACGTGCTACTCGCGAATATCCCGTGTCGAAACGTGCTCGGACGGTTTGTTATTTACAACGGCGCTCTATTTGTTTCGCTGGTCGGCCATCTTATTTTGTTGTCGCGCCTGCCGTTCTCACGCGTAGCCACGCGCTCTGCCGCGAAAATCGGAAAGCCTGTTCGAGCGCGGTATAATCACATTCTACTAACTCTCCTAGCTCTTTAATACTTGTGTCATTAACCTTACTCCAAAATATTAGATGTTGTTTTCATAACTATGAGGATATAAACATCGTTCTGTGCTTCGTAGGTAGATACGCATATACTCGTAGAATTGCACATTTGTAGTAGTAATCCCTGACATTCCTGTCATTAACCTTAGTTCTGATCTTTCTTTAAAGTATTGTATGTAAATATCTCAAATGTGACGAATTTAAGTATAACAGGATGATTCATGTGTATATATATATTTGTAGATTAGCGAATGTTTAGGATTTTATTGACACTGTGATTTATTTTTGGCCGAAAGAAGGGTCATTGATTTCATTCTGAGAACAGAATCGAGAGGGTAAATCATATAGGTGGTTAGTGCACGACCCCGTAACCAGGTGCGATCGACCAATCACGAAACAGGTTGAAGACCATGCTACTTATCCCAGCTTCCAAGAATACGAACCACGAGTGGGGTGGATCTATTGATCGACCGGTTCTGACACAAGGGAGAAACGTGACAGAACTCCTAGCGTTTCTACACGAGAACTTACACACACAGGAGACTATATTATAAAGTTTCAGAGTTTTCCATGATCATGTGTGAGAATTCGAGATTCGAGGACGACGCCAATAGGGTTTTAGCGGTGTATCACATGGAACCCCCTCTTAAGGCGAAACTCGTGAGGTGAAATGCATAACGGACATTATCGACAGGGCTAACCTGTTTGAAAAGTTTTCAACCGTCAAAAAACCAAAAATTATCGTAGAATAGGATTTGTTAAGTCGTTAATCAAGGAGGGATCAGATATCAGTTTGACATTTATCGTGTACACGTGTGTGCATGCTAAAAAGGTTGCGGAAAAAGTGAGGTTTAAGAATGTGTTGAACGTGGACCTGTTGGGTTACATATAGGGAAGTTTTCATTGAACCTATGTTTGTGTGGTAATGCAGGTGATATGATCATGTGTGAGAGAGTTCATAGGAACTGTTGAATTGTGGTTCAATCATAAAGGATTGCAGTGCCTTATATGTTGTATCAATGAGATAATAAATGAGAACTCAACTGTCAAGTTTAAATATTGTGTTAATTATTTCGTTACTCGTTACAATCTACAGGTTGTCTTCAATTGCACAAATAAGGAAAGTTGAACAATTTAACAACAATAACAAAATGGTGTTTAGAAAGAAAACAACTCTTTTTAGAGAAAGGTAGCTATTTCTTCGAGCACCAGATAAAAAGTAGCGAAAATATAATTATCGCAGTAATTTAGATGGTAGATAAATTATACATAAACATATTTACAAAACTTCAGATCGATCGAATAATTATTTTTCGAGATATTCATTCGAAAGTTGGAGAAGTTACCTCGAACATGGCACAGTTATGGCGCCATTCTCTTTAAGCAAGCATAACTTCCTCGATTCATTAAAATTTTTTTAAATTCCTGTAACTTCATATTCTACACATCCTTATCCGTTGATTAATGGGACAAAATGAGATACCATGTAGCCCCCCTCCCCCAAACATAACTATACCCAATTATTTCCCACTGATACCAACATTTATTAAATCTATGACTTATTCTTATTTCCGATTCATATGTAATTATCTAAAAAATGTTCCTGATTCACTTCCAAGAGCTTTCAGTATCATTTCCTCTTATCAGCGTGCATTTTATCGTGAAACTAAATTGCCATGTTTTTAATTTGTCGTTTGATCGATCGTAACTACATACCTCAAGCAGCAGTCAATTCATGCTCATAGAGACATTCAACTACCGATATTGTCGGTCGCGCCACCTGCTCTATCGATATTTTGACGTATGGGAAGTACCCACCGATTTTGTATTAAATGTACCGCGAATCGAATCGACTGTTTAACGTGATGGAGTAGAGTTGCACTCGTATTTCCCGTTGCAATACGCTGGAATTCGTTCTGCGAGAGCATAATCGAGCCACAAGGAGTCGATATATTTGCGATTAAATAATCAAACATCATCAAAAACAAAAAAAACCGTTGTGAGTATTGCTTCGATATATTTCTGATTAGTTTTGAAAAATTGCTAGATTTTACGGTTTGAAGTGGAACAAAGGGGATTTGCGAGCTGTCATTTTGACTGCAACGGATGTTAATTGGCGTTATCAAATCGCGCTTCGAAGTGTAATCGAGGAGAGTTCCTGGTAATTGATTTGAAACACCGTGCTTCTTTCAGCTTTCCCGCGATATGTGTTTCCTCCTTCCTCTCAGTGGATTTTGTCATTTCTGGACGGAAAATTGTGATATAAAATGTTGCAGAAATTAAAAAAAATAAAAGAAAGGTGTTCCTTTAAATATGAATTTTTTTGGAAGTTTAAACGTATTGAAAAGTGGAGCTGAGAATCTTTCCATGGTAAATTAAAAGAGGTTCATCCTTTTTACATTTTAAACTAGAAAAGATATTTTTTTGGGTCTGAAGTATGTGAAAGAAATTACAAAAAGAAGTATCTTCTTGTATTTAAAATTTTTGAAAATATTTTTCTTTGCATATTTGGAAATTACGAAAAATAGAGTCCAGGAACGGTGCATAAAGCAAACAGAAATATACCGCCTGAATTATCGAAGAGCTTTGATCCACTTAAGTCACTGCAATGACGTATCTAATAAATCACAGCTGGGAAACTGTAGCTGTCACTATCCCATTGCTACGATTTCGTAGTAACATCACATCAGACACCTTTGCTTATCATTTCCAAACATCAAATTCTCCTATTCCCACCCGAAAACTAAACCATTCCAATCCTTTCATTTCCCATTTAACCACTCAACGTTTAATTGCTTTGGAAAATGTCCAAAAGCTAATCTAAACATCTCTTTAACACAGCTGGTTAACAAACAAACACACATAACCTATAAGGAATCATTCAGTGCTAACAGACCATTATCTCTCTTGATAAAAATCTCAACAGAGGAAAAAAATCTCAATTTCACGACCGCAAGCTCGAAATTAACGAACATTTCTAAATGAATTTGTGCCTCATTAAGGTTAACTTAGCGTGTAACACAGCTAACGGCTCACCGTAGCATCCGTGGTCAGACTAAATTATCCAGGATTTATTTTCATGCCCCCACCATTTGCTAGGCGGCCTTGCACGTGGTCACGCGGTTCAGTATCTCGTGTATCGCATTTCTTAATTGCTGATGGCCATTGTTGTCGGCCATGATAGGTTCATACGACGCCAAAAAATTCGCTCAGGTGTCCTGCTGCCCTGTAAACAATCAATTGTAACACCAGTTTCGATAACGAACGGAACTTTTTTTTTTTTAAAGTTCGTCAAACGATAAATTTGTTATGATAAAAAATTGAAAAAAAAATATTTTATTTTATTTTTTATTTATTTGTTTTTTGAGATAAAAAGAAATTATGTAGGTGACAATTGACGGATGGAAAAGTTGAAAGAATGTGAGCGTAAATGAAACGAGATTAGAGAATGTTGTTGGTATTTAGCCGCAGCGCGATAGCGATAGGTTCACACTGTGTGTGTCAGGCTGCGTTATATTTCCAGGAAGTCGGTAGTTGGCGGTCAGTGTACCGTGATCCAGCGGCGTTCACAAATCTCTCTTGCAGAATGAGGTGAGGAGAAATTTGTAGTTTGAAAAATTGATTTACCTTCAAAACTGACAACAACAAAGTGGATACATTTTTTTAAAAGTAATCTTTGGTGTTTGAGGAAATATTTTTCAGGACTGTCCAAGGCAGAAAGCCAAAGGATGGGCCCCTTGCTTTTTCCTACAATTTATTTAGCGGTTTAATATTTCCTTTTTAAATACTGGAGGCAGAGGAAATTTTGTTTGACGATTGAAGCTTGTTTTTAACATTGGAAACAGGAAATTGTTTTTTAAATATTGGATATTGGAATTTTTTTTTTAAATTAGAAAATTCAATTTGTCTTTATACTGGAAACGGTTGTTAAACAAACTTTTTTTCAAAATT